ACATCCTCGGAATACGTCCCAAGTCCCAAAACCGTGCGGTGACCCCGAATCCCCACCGACTCACCACACGGTGAGGCCACCACCCCGTTTGGGGGCCCCAGAGGAGAGTGTTCAGCACCAGCCAGGCTCAAAACGCCAACGGCCTTGTTTAAAAGAAATACAAAAAACATAAGCAAAAATGTTTGGCGCTCCGCGCGGAGCGCCACAAGTACATGTGTATACCGTTTTTCTTCTACGAGTGTTGACGCGGCGTGAAAGTGGCATGCCTCTTCCCTCGCACTCATTCCTTTCCCTTCCGCCTCGAGGCAGCCGCACGCGAGCTCGGTCTACCCCTGAGGGCCTGTCCGTGAGAAAAATCTGCTAGTTGTCAGAGTTCGCTTGGGATCCCCAGGCTCGAGCACTCTGCTGAGCAATTCCAACAAGAGCAGCCCCGCAGGCAGCAGTGCTGGAAGAAGCGCTGGACTCGCGGGATATCCGCCACCCTGCCGTATACACCGAGTTGAGTGTCCCCAGGTACCTCCGAGCCCTCAGGTATCCAGGATGGCTGGCTCTCTGAACGGCCCAGGAGACCTCCTTCGCGGGCGGGCTCTTTGAACGGCCCAGGAGACCTCCTTCGCGGGCGGGAACCATATCCACATACACGGCCTCGTACACCAGCCCCCGGGGAGTTCTTCGCGAATGCCCCGCGCGAAGCACATCCATGCGATCGCCCATCCACGGGATTGCGCCCCGGAATTCGCGTTGACCCAAAAGGGGCCCAGCGACAAGAGGGTGGTGCAACAGATGTGGTGCAATAAATTTGTGGGGTTGCAAATACTTCTGGGGCGTGCAATACATTCCGCGGCGCAAGTGTATTGCTGGGTTTTCGCGGCGCGTGCAATACATCACCTGCAATACATATGCAATCCACTTCTCTGGCGCCAGAAACCTGCAACACAATTGCCCCATATCTGTTGCACCACCCCCTTTCAGCTGGACCCCCTTCTGGGCCGCCCCGAGGAATCCAGGCCGCGAGGGCGCGGATGTGGCTACTTCTGCTCGCCGCACGTGACCCCCTTGCCGGAGATGCCGGGCCCGCTCGCCCGCGAGTGCGCACGACTTCCGGGGGGGTGCGGGCCGCGGGCCGCGGGCGAGAGGCCGGAGGCCGCCAGGGACGGGCCAGGGAGGCCCCACGGGGGTCCCCGCGGGGCCGTCCGAGAGGCCTCGGGTCTGCCCAAGGGCGCCCCAAGACGCCCGCGAGGCCCGCCGGAGGGCCCACGCAGGAAGCGAGCCCCCGGAGGTCCGGGTCCCGTCCTGCCTCCGTCCCTCCTCGCTCCTCCCCCCTCCCGTGCTGCGCCGCTGCGCGGTCGTGGGGGGGCCCCGAGCACCCGCAGAGTGCCCACGTCATCGGCGGGAGCCAGGGCCCGCGTGTCCTGTGGTCGCCAGCGAGGCCACCGAGGCGCCCCAAGGGGGCCCCGAGAGGGCCTCCAAGAGGGCCCCAAGAGGCCCAACCCGTGGAATCGCAAATGCCCCTTCGTTTTTTTGACGATTCGGGTGCACCCGCGCGCATATAGCAATCTCGGCTACACAGTCAATGTGCAACAGGCATATCTGGGCAAGGAGCAACTCAGGAAAAAGACTAGAGGTGCTCTGCGAGCGTGGCCGGAAACTCTCCGGGTCGGCTCGAGCAGAAGCAGACCTACACACATACCCGCCTTGGAGGATAGCAGCAGAGGAGGAACGACGCCGAGGCGCTTGTATCAAATTATCCCAGCACCGTGCTGAAAGGAAAAGTGGCAACATTGAAGCGGCGATGATTCATGCATTGGACAAATTGCAGAGTCTCCGAGCCAGAGGGAGAGCCGAAACATCACATACGCCAGAACGACGGAGGCGCTGGGCAGAAGCTGGTGAGGAGTCTTGTTCCTTTTGCACCCCCTCCTCCTTCTCCTCCTCCTCAAGACCCAAGACTACAGACAGGTCTGCTGCCGATGCTGCTGCTGTTGCTGCTGTTGTTGGTGCCTTCGATCGGTGGAGACGTGGCCTCGAACCCCCTCGGCAACTTCACCATAAAAAACACGACTCGTGCGTGGGGTGAGGCGCGGGGTAGGGCGTGGGGAATGGGGTGTTCGTCCCTCTTCCTCCTCGTTCTCCTCATGTCAGGTCGGGGGCTTCGGTGCCTGGCATGAAGCGTGCCTGCGTCCCTGGGTGTAGAGCTCGGCCCCTCGGGCCTGGCGGAAGGGCTCCACAACAGCTTCCTCCCCCTCCGCCAAGATCCTCAAGACTCGAGGCCTCTGGAGACCTCCGCTTTCAGATGCGGCTGGGAGGTCTGCGCTGAATGGGCCCCGAGAGAATGAGTCAAGAGGCGGGGGAGCATGTCAAATCCGCTCAAAGTCTGTCCCCAGACCCCTCCTGGGGCCAAAACGCACCTGCTGTTTTTTTTCCGAGCTGCGTCCAGCCATGGCGACGAGGGAGCCCCGCGAATGCACGACCTCAACATTCGAGGCCTCTCAAGACCTCCTCTTTGCCTCTCCCGTCTATGACACGCTCTCCATTCGCGCTGAGCTCGGGGGCAGGGCACGCACGGCAGGTGGCGCTCAAATACTGACTCCCCGGTCACAGCACGAGAAAAAAGTAAACTGCACGCCCATGCAGTCATTGAGCATCCTCGTTGGCGCTGGCAATCTCGAAGAAGATAAAGCGCATAAGCATACAGTGCGGGCGCGGCGGCAAGAAACCTCGTAAAAAAACCAAACCCCAAGAGCCCGCGCGCGAGGTGCACCCGAGGGGAAACCTGGAGCACCCTGAACGCAGCAGTTCCTTCAACGGTTGCTGGAAGTCACCGCGCAGCGCGAGGAGCGAAGAAACCCAGGGTACCCTGACGAACAAAAAGCATATGGTTTCTTGATGCGCGCCCCCACTGCCCCATCGTAAGCCTTCGGAGGTCCGCGTGGAGTGTGTTTTATCCGCGCTGGGCTCCCCTCCATGGCGCAAGGGAGCACGCCAGGGGCCCAGCGCCGATCCCTGAGATCCGCGCGGACCTGCGAAAGCTTATGTTCATGCCGAATTCTCTCCTTCAAGATGAAGAGGAGGAGGAGGAGGAGGAGGAGGAGGAGGAGGAGGAGGAGGAGGCGGAGGCGGGAGGAGGGAGGAGGAGGTGGAGGCTGAGGAGGAGGAGGAGGAGGAGGAGGAGGAGGAGGGGGAGGAGGAGGAGGAGGAGGAGGAGGAGGAGGAGGAGGAGGAGGAGGAGGATTCGCTGAGGATTCGCTCGCAACGTATGGTCGAATCGGCCGAAGGCGAGGCGACTACGCTCGAAAACGGAGGCGCCCTTCATCCCAGGCCTGTCCTGGGTAATCTGGGTCCTCCGAAACTCTGATTCGTGGTGGGGTGTCTTCCCTGCCACAAGCGGTTCAAACGCCCAGCTAGGACCCGAGGATTCCCCCCTGGACAGCTGGTCAACAAACCCCTCCATCGGCTGGTGGCGTACCTTGCGCACTTCCGACAGGATACTACTGTTTTAAGGGGCACCATCTGGTGGCCTTCGGCTTGGGCCCGCTGGATCAACTCTCCGAGCCCCGCAGGAGGCCAAGGAGGGGGGACCACGGGGCCCTGTGAGGGCGGTGGAGTGCCCGCGGGGCTCTCCACTCCCTCACTGGGCGTCGGGGCGGGGACGGGGCTGCCCTGGGCCCCAGAGGGCCCAGGGCCCTCGGAGGTGTCCTCGAGCCCGTGACCGAGTTCCCCGACGTGCGCGGCGAATTCCAGAATGTCTGAGACCAACTGGGACCCCTGAATATACGCGGCCCTGCACCAGGCCTCGTGCTGATGCATTTGCGCCCCGCGCTTTGCGCAGGCGTCCGCTATCTTTTTCCCGATGAACTGCTGGGGCCCTATCAAGGCTCTTTGGGCCCTTGTGGCGTGAGCTCTGACTTTGCAAAAGACGATGACGATCCCTTGCCTACCTACCCCGCCGTTTTCCTGCACGAGCCGCCAGCACTCCTGCCATACCTCTTTGTGGGTCGTGTCCGCTCTGGCGGCCCACTCGGGGCCTCTAGCGAAGCCGTCGAGGACCGACTGGCAGTCGCTGAAGATCCGCACTGGCGGGACGGCCCCCCTCAGGACCTGGAGGACCGCCGTCAGCTCGCTCTTGTAGATCGACTGGTCGTGCTGCGGCCCTTCCAGCGGCCCGAACATTGCATGCTCCATCTTGTGCCAACTGTCGAGCTTCACGAAAGACCAGCTACCTCTTCTTAATGCTGGGTATGCCCCGTACAGCAGGCTGCCATCCGTGTAGATGTCGCCGTGCACGAGGCCGTCGAAGGCGCCCTCCACATCGCAGGTGGATGAGGAGGGCAAGTTCCTGCGGTCGTACTCCAGCGCTGGGTCCGCTGCGAGCCCTCTCCCCCGGAGCGACTCGGAGGCCGCCAGCTGCTTCTCCGTCGCTCCACCAGGCCACGTCATGGCACCGCGATGGCATATGTGGTGCCCTCCCACTATCCGCCGGTGTTCCTGCCTGGCCGAGCACACGAACGTCCTGTGGCGGTCCGTCCCTTCGCACTTGTGGTAGGCCTTGCATGTGCTGCCCTCTGCGGCACCCTTGTGGAAAAGCCGTCGCTGCGGCCAGGTGCCGCCGCGCCACAGGCTGCGCACCCGAGTCTGGTGCTCCAGCGTCCACTTCTTGCTCGGCGGCCTCTTGAGCAGCGCGGCGCCACGAAGAAGCTGTCCAGGCCGTGCTTCTCGCCGTGGATGCGCAGCCAGTCGCTCTTGGGGCCGTTCTCCGTGGCCGCGCTGATGCGCTGCTTCAGGTATCTGAGCGGCAGCTTCCTGAGGTGATGCTGTGCGCCGCGAGCGTCTCCCAGCCCAGCCTCTGCACCGTGGCGATGAAGGCCCCTGCGGGCCCTCGCATCTGCTGCCATGGGGCCCTTGCCCGCCCCACACGTAGTGCCCACTTCTTCCACGCACTCTGGAGCTGCGCGTGGAGGCCGTCCTGGTTGGCTACCTCCTGCCACGCCATGGCCCAGTTGACCAGCGGCTCCGTGTTGGCGCGGATGGCGGGGTCGGCGCCCTGCGCGAGCAGCGTGAGCGGCGACGATCTCCCCATGGTGCTACCCCTGAAGGAGGTCGCCACGCTCTGCCGCAGGAGGGGAGGGTGGCGTTGGGCATGCCCATGACCTGCACCCCGTACATCGCCGACGGCACCTTCCCCTGTCTGATGATCGCCTGCGCAGGCCCACCTGCTCGGCGTATGCGGGCGATGCGATCTCGCCGCGCTGCGTACTTGCTGGCCCTCTTGCTGAAGGCGCTGATTCGCCTCCTCCTGCCGGCCGCGGTGGCGACGCCGAGGTGATCGGCGTGTCGCACCATCCTGATGCCGAGCGGGCGCACGCGCCTGGCGAGGCCGTCCTGCAGCGCGGTGGTCGAGGCCATGGAGACCGTCTTGCCCTCCGCGCCCTTGGAGACCCTCATGTCCAGCCCCCCGAACATGTCCACGAGCGCCTGCACCAGCCGCGTGTGCCAGTACTGCACAAACAACCTCGCGCCCCGCGTGGCGACCACCAAGTCGTCGAAAAAGAAGCAGACCGAGGCCCACGGGTAGTTGGCGATGACCCCGTCCAGCTCCCCGAAGATAACCATCTTGAGGCAGAGGGGCGCGAGGCGGCTTCCTGCCGCGATGCCGCGCGCCCACCTCGAACCCTCCGCATGTGCATTGTCCAGCACGATGCGCCCGCGTCATCGAGTAGATGCGCAGCACCATCTTCAGGATCACCGTGTTGAATCCGGATCGCGCACCTGCTTGCCACACCTTCTCGTGCGTGACGTACTCGAAGCACTTGACCAGGTCGAAGTACGTGACGGCGTATTCCAGCCCCTGTGCCACCGTGGCCTCGCAGAACACCGCCTGCTCCCAGGCGGCCCTCTCGCTGGACCCCCCTCTCGCGGCCCAGTCGTAGCCCCTGCGGTGGCTCTGCTCCCAGCCCCTGGCGCACGGCATGCGGATGGTCTCCCACAGCCTCGCCAGCTCGGGGATCAGCCCGAGGTCGCGGTGCCCGCCCGACGCCTTCGCCAGCAGGTAGAACAGAATGGTGCCCTGCGCCTGCGGCCAGGGCGAGCCCGCCTCCAGGGCGTTGAGGGTGCTGGCCACCCTCGCGGCTCCTTGGACTCCACCTTCGCGCCAGAGTCCCGGGTGCCATCCCGACTCCCCTAGCCCCGTCCTGGTCTTGAAGCGCCCGCAGGCCTCGATCACCTGCTGCGGGGTGATGGGCGGAGGCTTGGCCTCTGCCCACTCGATCTCTGTGGGCAGCCGGAGCCACGGCGCCCTCGGCTCGGGCGGGTCGTGCCAGATGTTCTCCCACCCCTGCAGCGCGGCGTCGGCGGCCTTCTGGGGGTGCGTGAGCTCGTGCATCTGGTCGCTGTCGGAACCCGCTGGCGCTGCCTGCGGTTGCCAAGGCGCGGGGGCATTGGTCCACTTGTGCAGCGACCCTGCTCCTCGTTCTCCGTGCGTGGCCACCCACTGCCGCCACTGCGCCGCGGCCGCTCGGTGCACCATCTTCCAGTACCTCCTGCTGGCGAGGTCCAGCAGCGCGGCGATGAAGCCCCGGTAGTTCTGGGCGCGCTCGTCGATGTCACTGACTCGCCAGTCCCGCAGCGTGTGCACGATGAGCGGCCAGCGAATCGTGTTCCGGGTATTGGGGTCCTGCTGGCCCTCGGCGGGGGGCGCTCTGACCGCGAGGCGGTCCTGTACCCCTTCCGCCTCATCCCGAGGGGCGTCCACAGACTCCAGCAGCCCGTCCTCCTCGTCCGTGTCGTTGCCTGTCTCGGCCGTCTGCCAAGGTGCTCGCTCTGCGAACAGCGGCATGGCGATGTCGTGGCTGAGAAGCCCGTCAGCAATGTGCTGAGCTCGCCGAAGTGCGCCCGAATCTCGCCTCTGCTGCCATGCGTTGGCCAGTAGCCTCAGCTGGCGCAGCCGCCGCGCGAGCCACTCGGCTGCCTCGACCCACTGCTGCTGCTCCAGGGCCGCGGTGCAGGGCTTGGGCCTGCGCGGCTTCTGCTTGTAGTTGGCCTTCTCGAAGTGGCCCTGTCGTTTGCTCCAGTCGTAGCCCTCGAAGCTGCGGCACCTGTTCAGGTGCTTCTCGTAGGCCCCACCGAGCTCGCTCCAGTAGCCGTCGACCTGGCCCTGCGTGTGCTGCCTGTGTGCTAGCGGCTTCGGCCATCGCACTGGCCGTGGGGGGGCAGCCCGTTGGCCGCGTCAGCGGCCGCGGCGTCCGCTTGCACAGCACGTTGACCATGTAGTCGCTCTGCTGGTGCACTGGCACCCTTATCCTGACGGGCAAGTGCGGCGACGTGTTGTGCCCTTCTTGGACCTCTGCCTTGAGCGTAGGTGCAACCAGGCCGCGCGAGACGATGAAGTAGTCGCGCGTGCTCCTCGTGCCATCCTTCTTCAGGCAGCTGCCCTGCTGAGTGTCGCGCACGATGACCTCGTTCATCTTGCGGACGATCTCGGCCTGCTCCAGCATCTCTGGGCCTATGTTGAAGTCGCCCCCGAGGATCCACCCCCTCTGGATCGCGTTCATGGTGGCGCCCCACTTGGCCAGGATGCGTTTGTTCCTCTGTGTGAGGCCCTCGCTGTTCCACAGGTATGCGGCCCCGAGCACGAGCCCCTCCTTGCTGTAGGCGTCGATCCAGGCCACGGCGAGTCGCCCCTTGGACTCCCGCGGGCTGATGTCCCACTGGTTGATCCCTTTGCGCACGAAGCCCCCCCGCTGCTGCACCCACTGCGTCTTGCTGATGGCGAGGGCGTGCCCAGCCTGCAGCTCGCCCACCAGCAGCTTAAGAGGAGCAACCACCTTACCAGCCTGGTCGGGCGTGACCCCCACGCCGACGAGAGCCTTGCAGATGTCCTGCTCGTTGGCGCCCGCGGGGATCTCGAGGAGGTCCTCCTTGGTTGGGCCCTCGGGGCAGCTTCGCTTGCGGTTATCGGCGCTGCCAGCCCGTTCCTTTGCAGCGCGGGCCTGCTCCGCCCTGGCCTTCTGCTGGAGGCGCTCGGCGTGCTTGGCCCGCTCCTCTTCCTGCTCCTTCTGCTCCTTGGCGTGGGCGACGGCGGCGGCGAGCTGCTCCCGCTTCTCGCTCCCGCCGTCGTCGAGGCAACGCTCGGCCTGCTCAAGGAAGGCGAGCGCTGCTGCACATCCCTTCCCTGGGGCGGGGACGGCCAACTCCTTGATCTTCTTGTCCAGGGTCTCGAGCTTGGTGTCGAACTTGCCCAGCTTGCTCCGCTCGTCGGCGAGCTTCTCGTCGAGCGCATCTCTCTGCTCCTGGAGCGCGTCGATCCGCTGCTGGCACTTGTTCTTCTGCTCCGCGACGCTGTTCCTGTCTCGCACCACTCTGCATTCGGTGAAGCAGCGCGGCACTCCCGTCTCCAATGCTGCCTGCTCGGCGGCGAGCTCGTCCTCGAGCTGCGCCACCTGCGGCTGCAGGGATTCCTCCAGGAACGGGTCCTCGGCGAGCTTCCTGAGCTCGGCCAGCTTGGCACGGTAGTGCTGCACCTTGGCGAGCTGCTCGTCGTGGCACTTGTCCTCGGAGGCCTCTCCTGCAGCCGCGCTGGAGGCTCCTGCGGCTGCCGCGGTAGGGCGGGCACCCCAGCACTTCCAGCAGTACTTGTACTTCCCACCGTTCTTGAAGTTGCACGGCTCACACCGCCACGTCGAGTTGTTGCTGCCATTGCTTTTGTTGGCAACCAGCCGTTGGCTCCGACACTTGTGGCCACTCTGAAGTCTGAGTGTCAGTGCACTCGGGGCCTCCTGCAGGCGAAGAAGGGCGCCCGAGCGCAAAATGGCTGAGGAGGAGGAGGAGGAGGAGGTGCTGGAGCTGGAGCTGGAGCAATCGGACGTAGTCCGTTCGGGCGGGGACGGGTGCCTGGGGAGGGCCATCAAAATTTTGCCAGCCGTGCCGAGGGGGGCGACATCCCTCGCACGCTGCGACAGGCCCTCCCCAGGCCAATTTACTCTTGAAGAGTGCTTGCACTGCGCCACAAGGCGCCGCCAGGAGAGCCCCAGGGGAGGCGCGGCAACCTTCGCACCACGCGCGGCCCAACGGCCAGGGGTCCAAAACCAAAACGCGCCCATCAGCTACGCTTCAGCCTCGCGCGGAAGCGCCGCTTGTGGGCCCTCATGTCTTCGTCATCTTCAGGGTCGTCGCACTCCCAGGGGGGGGGGCTGCCGTGGCCTGCACGGCTACCTGCACTATCTCGCTCACCTGGGTCCCTGCCGCGTGGCCCTCGCTGCGCCCAGGGAGGAGGGCGGCCTCGTGGTTCGTCAAGTACTCGAGGAGTCTCGATTGACTCGCTGTGTCCGAGGGCGTAGCTGTACACTGCGTGCTGCAGATGGTGCCGGCGAGCTGCGTGCGATCGATGGCATTCACGCCGGCGTGCGGGTCGCTGTCGAGGCTGCAACGCTCGTCGGTGCTGTGATCAGCCGTCCCCTCGGAGCTCCCCGCAGGCCCCTCGGAGACGATGTTCGTCACCACGACGTTCTTCACCTCCAGCTTGAGCAGCCTGTCGTCCATGTCCTGCTCGCTCTTGTAGCCGAAAGCGGCCTTCATCTTCTTCACGTCCTGCCCCATCTGGGTCTTCTCGCCCTTCTTGTCGTTCACTCCCTTCTGCAGCTCGTCCTCGGGGTCCGAGTCGCACATGTCGCTCTCCGCGTTGATGTCGGTCGTAGCCACCTCCAGCTTCAGCAGCCTGTCGTCCATGTCCTGCTCGCTCTTGTAGCCGAAACCGGCCTTCATCTTCTTCATGTCCTGCACCATCTGGGCCTTGTCGCCCTTCTTGTCGTTCACTCTCTTCTGCAGCTCGTCCTCGGGGTCCGAGTCGCACATGTCGCTCTCCGCGTTGATGTCGGTCGTAGCCACTGCGCCCACGCTCCCTGTGGAGGCGAAGGCCTCGTCGGAGGCCGCGTCGTGAGGCTCGTCGGCGAACTTGACAGGCACCGCCTGCATGAGCCAGGAGTTCGCGACCTCGACGATGCGCTCCGCCGCGCCAGGATGGCGGATGAGGGCGCTGGCTGCATCCAGCTCGCGCCAGGCGCGTACCAGGTGGGGTGGCACCCGCTGGCCGTCGTCCCGCAGGCGAGCCAGGCCTTGCGCAAGGGTGCTGCCACCCACGGTCGCCACGAGTGCCGTGGCAGCCCCCAAGACCCGCTGGGCCTGGCCGCCCAGGACTTCACGGCAGCAGGTCCCTGTCCTGCAGGCCTGGTCCAGGCCGCCTTGCAGCTCCCGCATCAGCAGCGCCGCCTGCTGGGGGTCCCTCACGTGCGCCAGTGCGGCCCCATGACGCACGGGGATGGATCCAGCAGCATCGCGCCGCCGGGTCATGATTGCCCGCGCCGCTGAGCGGGGGGCTGCCGTCTTGAGCCACAATGGCTACGGAGGAGGAGGAGGAGGTGGAGGAGGAGGAGGAGGGGGAGGGAGGGGAGGGTGAGGTGGAGGCTGAGGCGGAAGGAGGAGGAGCAGGAGGAGGAGAGGAGGAGGAGGAGGAGGATCGGGAGTATCTATCGGCGCTCCAGGGTGCGGGGACGAAAGACTCGAGCGGACCTCAAGAGCCCTCCTGGGAGATGGGCGCCGCGGCAGCGGCGCGAGCAGCGGCTTCGTCCCGCACTGTGGACAGGACTCGCTGCGACAAAAACGCGTGCGGTGGGGCCCCCGGCCCTGGGGCGCGGGAGGAGGAGGGGAAGGAGAAGAAGGAGAAGGAGGAGGAGGAGGAGGAGGAGGAGGAGGAGCAGGAGGAGGAGGAGGAGGAGGAGGTGGAGGCTGAGGAGGAGGAGGAGGAGGAGGAGGAGGAGGAGGAGGTGGAGGCTGAGGCGGAGAAGGAGGAGGAGGAGGAGGAGGAGGAGAAGGAGGAGGAGAAGGAGGAGGAGAAGGAGGAGGAGGACCAGTGTAGAACCAAAACTGGAGGAGGAGGGGGAGGAGAGGAGGAGGAGAGGGAGGAGGAGCAGCAGCAGCAGCCTTGGAGCCGATGCGGGGGAGAGGCGCAGCGGCACGCGGGGGCGAAGCGGAGGTCGGCCGCCGCCGCCGCGGCCTGCCGGCGCCGGACCCGCGCACAGCGGCGGGCTCACTGGAACTGCCAGGAGGGTCGGGGGCGACGAGGGGGGCGAATAGCGCCCGGGGGCGGGCACCGCACGCACTCGCGGAGGAGCCTCCCCGAAGACATGGATCATCGGCGCTCCTGGATACATGTGAGGGACGATCAAAAACGGGCCTTACGCGAAATGAGGCAGCGACCTTGCGCTGCAGCGTACGCGGGCCGCCAGCGCGGCACGCTATTTTGGAGAAAAGAGCGCTTACGCGCGGCCTTACGCGGGCAGCTTACGCGCCAATGTCGGCGCAGACGACGCGTTTTCTTGGTCTCGCTCATGTATCGCTCCCTCCTGGGCCACAACCGAAAATGCGATCCAGAAAATCAGAAATTTCAAAAATCTTGGCCGGAATCCCAAGAAGCTTCTGCAAACCAGCCTGGTCCGATATCTGTTGTTGGCGCTGGAGGGCGAACGTGCTCAAGAAACTGCGCCCACTAGTCCTGGCAAGCCAGTCAAGAAACCATGGCCCGGCTTTTCGGGAGGAGGTCTCTTAATCAAACGCTCGGCTTTACTCGCCTCTGTCGTCGCCTCCAAGGATGAGCCCGGACGCGCTGGCGCCTGTCCGCCGGCGACGGCGACGGCGACGGCGACGGCGACGGCGGGCGCAGGCGCCTGGCCGCCGCAGGGCGGTCCCGGGGCCGCCCACGGGGCGCCCGAGCGATCGGCCTCAGCGGGCGGCCCGCCGCCCGCCTCGCCGGCCGCGCGCTGTCGCGCGACGAAAGGGCGCACGGCGGAGCCGATGCTCCGCAGGGACGTCCTCGGTGGGCTTCGTTCCCACCGCCACCACCATGAGCAGGAGGGGGAGGGGGACCTTCTCTTCTTCTTCCTCCTCCTCCTCCTCCTCCTCCTCCTCCGCCTCCGCCTCCTCCTCCTCCTCCTCCTCCTTCTCCTTTTCCTCCCGCTCCAACTTATGGAAGTGTTGGTGGAGAACGGGCCCATCAGTCCTCGCGGGCGCCCCGGCGGGCGGCGTGGCCGTCGCGCCCCACTGCGCCGCGCGCGCGAGGGCCCTGGGCGAGGGCGTGTCGCCACCCGCGCTGGTGAAGCCCGCCACGGCCGTGCCGATGCTCCGCAGGGAGGTCCTCGCGAGCGGCGCGGCGCCAGCCTCCGCGCGGGCGGCGGGCGAAGGCGTGCGGCTGTCCTGCGCCACGAAGATACACAGACACCCTCCGACGAACTCTGCGTGTCCGTTCATGGAGGGCGGCGGTGTGTAAAGCCGTCGGCTCCCAGTGGTGGTTTATACACCGCCACCCCCCGCTGAGGCCCAGGAGCAATCCGTTGGAGGGTGTCTGTGCGTATACTGTTGTGGCGGATGTCCGCGCCAGAGGAGCCCGCGTCGGCCGCAGCGGGCCTCGCGGAGGGCGCGGGCGGCTCCCGCGGGCGCTCGAAGAGGCTCACCACCTTTGCGCGCGCAGAGGGGGCGCCCCTTGCACCGGCCTCCGTGCCCTGCCAGGGCCATGCTGCGGGGCTGAAAGGTCTGCACATTCGGGCACGCACGAAGTACGTAACCCAGGTCCGCACCAACTCGCGTCGGCCAAGGCACTGCCGCGAAGCCCAGCCAGCCGCTCAGTAGCTCCAAAGCTCGAGTCAGCGAGAGGGCGGCACATGGGAATCGGCCCCATGGGGCTCCAAAGCGCAAACCAACCGGAGGGCATTTCCTGACCCCAGTTAACGCGAGGCCTCCTCGCGCGATGCCCGACGCGCATCCATCGCCGATCCTAGGGCAAAGAACGGTGCGTACGCCTTGCCGTCTCTGACAGGGGGCCACATACACCGGTCATAGGCCCAGGATGCGCCTGACCAGGGGCAGTGGATATACATACATATATACACATGTCTGCATGGAACAATAGTCAACATGATATACATGCACACATGCACATGCACATACACACACATCTACATATTAGCATACACATACGCATACACTTCTTCATACGCATACACATACGCAGAAACATGCAGACACCCCATGCACATACACATACACATAAGCATACAACTGCACATATCCATGCAGACATCCATACACACAGCTGTACACACAATCATACATACATACATGCATGCCTGCATACGTACATGCGTGTATACATACATACAGACGTGCATGCCTACATGTATACAAACATGCATGCATACACATACGTGCAGACATATATGCATTTAATCATACACAAGCACATGCACATGAAACCGGAGAAAAGCAACGATCATAATGTTTGTAAGGCTATAGGGCTATGGGGCTGTAGGGCTACAGGGCTATAGGTCGATAGGGCTACAGGGACATAGGGCTGTAGGGCCATAGGGCTAAAGGGCTGTAGGGCTATAGGGGCTATAGGCTCTGGGGCTATGGGGCTATATAGCAATAGGGCTATAGGTCTATAGGGTTACAGGACGATTGGGCGATAGGACAATAGCGCTATAGGGCTATAAGGCTATAGGGCTACACGCATATAGAGCTAAAGGGCTATAAGGCTATAGGACGATTGGGCGATAGGGCTATAGGCCTATAAGGCTATAGGGCTATAGGGCTATAGGGATATAGGGCTATAGGGTTATGGGGCTATAGGGCTATAGGGCTGTAGGGCTATAGGTCTGTAGGGCTATAGGGCTATAGGGCTATAGAGCTATAGGGCTATAGGGCTACAGGGCTATAGGGCTACAGGGCTATAGGTCTATGGTCTATAGGGCTATAGGGCTATAGGGCTATAGGGCTAAAGGGCTATCGGGGCTACAGGGCTAAAAGGCTATATGGCTATTGGGCTAGGTTGCTATGAGGCTTTAGGACTGTAGGGCACCCGGGCGGGCCGCGAAAAACGGTGACGCACCTCACCTAACCATATGAATCCGCTGGGACCCCTACTGAGGCAAGCTCTGATTGGGGAGCACTACATGGAAATATTCATACACACCCATACATTCATACATACATACATGCATGCAGGTATACAGACAGACAGACAGACAGACAGACAGGCAGGCAGACAGACAGACAGGCAGACTGCCATACATACATGGAGGATGCGTACAAACATACATACATTACAATAACTGCATACCTAAGCCCATGTACTTGTACGTGTATGTGTGCACAAATGCATGCATGTATACATACACATTTACCTGCACGCATGCAAATAACTCTACACACAGACACAATAAGAGACAGGCAGACAGGCAATACCTACCGATCTGCAACATGTCTATATACGTACATGTATGCATGCATACATACAGATATGCATGCATTCAACCATGCATACATGCATGCATGCATGCATTCAGACATACATACATACGTGTGTATACGAGAGTTGATGGCCCGCTTCGCGTCGCCTCAACGCTTGGTCCTGCGTCCGTGTACCTTCGGGCACCTGTTGAAAGAGGGAAACGTGGGACGCTATTACAAGTAGGGCGGGGGCAGCAGGAAGGAGAAGTTGGGCGCCCCGAAGGTCCGAGCGGGAAAACATTGGGACGGATTTCGATGCAAACGGACCGGAACGACCCTATCTCCCGATCTCCCGAAGAGCATGCGAGGGCGACTGGAACGGGGAAAGATCGTGACCACGAGTGGGTGGAGGTCATGGACTCGAGAGGGGTTACAGGCGTGAGCATGGTGGAGGTTCAGGGCATGGCCGTGGCAGGGTTCAAATCATGACCGCGAAGGGGCTCAACGTAATACGAGAAGGGGCGGTCACCGTGATGATCATGTCATGAAAGCGAGGATAATAACAATGAGTGGGATATTGGTCAAGATGGTGGTTTTTTGGTTACAACGAGACCAAGGTCAATGCGATGACCAAAAGGAAGGAGTCAAGGTCATGTAGGATTAGCCTCCCACAGATTCTGGAGAAAATGTTGCCCCCCTGGCCAGGGGGGGCAACATTGTATACTGATACCTTTCCAAGCAAACATCCCGAAAGATTTCCAGAGGGAGCGAGCCTGACCAGGAGTGGTCATCAGCAAGCTCCTACTATCTGCAATTCGACAACGCCCACGGCGTTCGAATTTCTCGGGATGTCTCCCTGTGGCGGCCGGACGGGGCTGGCGCGGGCACCCCGCCAGGGTCGGATCGCACCCCCCTGGGGGAAGGTTTGGTGGTACAAGAACCACCCCGCAGAAGCGGTGCTTTGTATACCAAACCGAGATCCAGGAGGGCCTGCGACACCCTCTCCCGCGACCCTAGTCGATGACCGCTGGAGGCCCCGTGGCATCCCGCGGCGAGATGGCCAGCGCCCAGCGCGATCTTGGCGTAGCAAAGAACACGCGACGCAAGGCATGGGCAATGCAGTCAGGAGGGGGTATCTTATAGGGCGCATCGTATCTCGGGCCCGCCCAAGCCCGAGGGATTCTAGGTGCATCGAACAAAAAGTGGTGGGGCCCGGCAAGGCGCAGCTGACGGAAGATGTCGGTTTGGCAGCGGCAGGTCGAGCACAGAGTGCCTCCTCGGAGTGGTCGTTGGGCCTGAACGCAGGCCTCAGGCGCCCGTTCGGACGGTCCAGGCACCCCAGAAACGCCCTCGGCGAGGCTCAGCTGCTGGAAGGCATCGCGAGGCAAGAGAACGTCCAAGAATCAACGGCAGATTGCATGAGCCAGGATCCACGATATCGCCTCAGGCACCTGTCCGAGAGAGCTCATGGCGCCGCTCGCTCTTAGGACCCTTGGCGTGGAGAGGTTCTTTGTCACGTCACAGCTGTGTCGATCGTTGGGCCGCCTTGGGGCCCTGGGGAGCTTATTGAGAGGCTCTTCGAGGCATGTTGGGAGCCGTTTGCGGGTCTCTTGGAGGCTGTATGGGCCATCATGGGGGCCTCTTGGAAGCCTCCGGGGCGTCTTAGGGACCTCTTGGACCATCTTTGGGCCCTCTTTGGCCGTCTTTTTTTTCCCACTCATTATCATATCTGCCAGCGGCCGACAGGCTTCGAGCCTGGTAGCCGAACAACTGTTCCCAAAACCACTCTCCGCACACAAGCCAGCAACAGAGCCGTTGTTGCCGCGTGGCCGAGCGTGGCAACCATGCGTCCTACCATTTCTCCTCCTCCACCGCCACCACCACAAAAACACCAGCATCAACCACCCACACACACACCCCATCCCCCCTTACACGGGAATGTTCCCTGTTCATGTCTTCACGCAACAGAACAGCATGGGAACGCGACTTGAAACAGCTTGCTATCTCCGAGAAGCTCGCACGCGAATGGCTCCCTGTGCGAGACAACAGCGCTCGGGGGAACTGGCGCACAGGCCGCACCAGGACTCGCGTGGCCACAACGCCTTGCCCCATGTGGCCTCTGGCAAGAGAGGCGGCGACACCCACGAGACGACTTGGCGTTCGACGCTGTCTGCCCCAGAACGTGGCAGAAATGAACAGCAACTCGAATACCCCAAATACTTTGGGGAAGGGCATCAAATAGGAGGGCCAAAAACGATAGGGATATGGGGGTCCTTTTCTGGAGATGTGACAGGCCACACCGTCCATATGTATTATCCCTAGTGCGGAGACGGGGACCTAAGTGAGGCCACGCCTTCGCCGCGCTGTTAGGACTGAGCGTCGCAGCTTCGCCCGGCGCGCTGGTCGCGCGCGGGGCGCGCCCGGAGCGGCGCCGGAGGCGACGCCACCGAGGCCCCAGCGCCGACCCAAGAAATCTGCGCGGAACTCCGAAAGTTTGAGCGAAAAAATCATTTCACAGGAGCTGGGGCGCAGCCGCCACTTAATACGGCAAGTCGTTTTTGAATTGCGATATCGTTGCGTTCCCCCCTATCCCCCCCCCATCCTGCCCATCAGATCCCGCACACCCACGGGTCTGGGCGGGTCAGATATTGGGCAAACCTCCCGGAGGGAGAAAAACTGGCTGCACCACGTAGCCAGCTCGGGCTGGACTGTGAGCTTTGCCACGAGAGCCTAATATCCATTAGCCGATCCCTAACCCCAGCAACAGCATCAAGCAATCACTTCCGCATCCCGTCCTCACCCCGCTCAGCGGAAACCGCGAGGCTGCCACTATGGGCGTTCCCGCGGGCAGCGTTGTTTGCGGAGGCATGGGCGACCAAGCAAAAAACAGCCACAAATGATCCCAGCAGGACCCCCCTCCCCAATTCCCATCAGATCCCGCTCACCCACGGGTCTGGGCGGGTCAGATACTGGGCAAACCTCCCGGAGGGAGAATAACTGGCTGCACCACGTAACCAGCTCGAGCTGCATTGTGAGCTTTGCCACGAGAGCCTGACGGCCCTAAAGTGTGCAGAGCGTTGCGGCCATCCCTGTTCGGCGTCTGCGCCGCGGGGCACCCCCGCCGCCCTGTAGCTCCTTCGCGTCGTTCCTTGGTGAAGATCCAACAGGAAAACGGTAACAGGGACAATCGACGATGTCCCCCTGCCAGGGCTCCGTCGGAACACGCCAT